ATACCGTTACGTGATATTCGGCTCTTGCCTGATGACGTCAGAGAACGTGTTTACCTCTGATGATGTGGTACATTTCACATATATTTTAACTTTTCGACGTCAAAACGATCTAAAGACGGCTCCTTTAACATGATTCCGCCTTTAAGTTGATCAGTTCATTCTATAGGCTTTTCAGTCATTAGTTATTGTTAAGTCCTAAGCTAAGGGGAAATTTTACAAGGCTTACCTTTTCCTCAAGGCCACGTTTGCGCAAGGAGAAAGCCGAAACGGTCAGAGAAAAAAGACCAATGCACAAAATAAACAGTTTGAATACCTAGAAAGAAAAAACAACAACGGCATGCATCCATAAACTAATTTGTCTACTTTTCGTGTAAGATACCAAACGCATGGGGTGATAACTAACTGAAAGTAATTAGCTAATAATTCTTAGTTACTTTCTTTTAATTCACCTGACGCTCAAACCAACATTTTTCTTTAAATTGTAGCTTGCACGCATAGCCAGGGCTCCTGCTCAAATCATCTGTAAAGACAATGACGAATACTAAAATAAACTCCGCTTACCATTTTGTTTCTTGAATATCACCCAAAGACGAATTTTTTCACCTGATAAAAGAGAGGATCAGATCTCTTACGAGCTTGATGTCTGACTTTTTATGCTTGCGTTTACTTCAAACTACAGGATATTTATACCCTTCCAAGGGTCTTGTCACAGGGGGCTGTTGTGAAGTATTTTCTAGGTTATTTTAAGTTTATTTCGTGTTTGTGCTTGACGTTTCACTCGTGACTAGAGTCTTGTTATGATCAGTTTGTAGATCAAGGTTAATCCGTATATGTGTTAACGGGTTTTTGACTGCTATTATCTTTTTAATGGGTTTGTCGACCAAAGTGTCATCAAGCTTGGGGTTTAATTAAGTTTGATTGTCAGTTTTTAAGTGGGTACGTTTTGGGAACATTACTGACCTTGATTGTTACCTACATCAGAGTTCCAGTTTTGGTTTAAGGTAGAGTCTCGTGGGTTTAGCTGTCACGCTTTCATTGGTTTTCTTATGGGTTTGTCTATTCCACTTTGGTTATCAACAGGAAATTCGTTTAAGTCACTCGGAAAAGCGTTTGTAACTCTCATGGTCAGCAAGCCTAGACGTACCTACGTTTTACTCATATAAGTTGTCAGTGTTTAGCAAGAGTAGAAGAGAGAGTAGTTGAGATTAGTTACAGCTAGTTGTTTAGCAGAATTCGTTAAGTGATGCTGTAAACAAGACATATGAGCGGCTGTAAAGATTAAAGAACACCAAGATGTAAACTCAGATACCTGGTACCCCTACGCTCAGCGAGCGAGTTGCTCGTAAACCCCCTACATATTTTGGTGGAGAACCCGTTATTTTGTTGGAGAACCTGAGTCGATTTTGGTGCAGAATTCCTTATTTTGCTGTTCATGGTGGTTTAAAACAAGTCCGGAGTGGAAGATCCGCCTTTGAAATCTGTGAGTGCTACGCCGAATGTTGCCATTGCAAACATTTAAGAACTCTGTTTAAGTTTAAATTTAGTCGTATGTAGGTGGAAAGTCGTATGTGTAAGGCAAAATCATAATGACAGAACTTTTTATTTAAGTAATGTATAGGCTTGCTGTTGAATTCCCATTATTTTACGGCAACGAGAGAGAAGATGTTCGCGAGTTTATTGATAACTATAGTCGGGCCGGTAGATTAAATGGTTGGGATGAAGAAAAATTGGCGTTTGGTCTTCCTCTTTTTCTAAAACGTCAAGCCAGCGTGTGGTTTAAAACTTTATCAGGTTCAGAAAATTTTACTTTTGAAGTATTGTCAAAAAAATTAATTGCTCATTTTGAATCAAGTGTAACTCTATGGCAGGTGAGACAAAAATTAGAAGAACGTCGTCAGTTATTAGGGGAGACTGTTGCCGATTACTATTATGATATTCTTTCATTCTGTTCTCGTCTTAATTTACCTAAAAGTGAATGGCTTTATTTTTTTGTACGAGGTCTAAGACCTGAGATACGTGACCACGTTATTTTGCAACAGCCAACTGATGTGGACTCCGCTTTGAATTTTGCGAGATTAAAAGAATTAGTTACTCTTGGTAAATCGAAAAATGGTCAAGAAGTTGAAGAATGTTCGAAGTTTAAGTCTAATCCCTCAAAAGAGAATATCAAACAAATTCTGAGAGACGAATTAAATGTACGGACTCAAACTTCCCAAAATAATGAAAAACATCGACGTGTTAATCGGAAATTTCGATCATGCAATTTTCCTGTCCATTGTGGAGGCACTGTTTTTGGTAAGGCCGAAATTGGGCAGATATAGAAATTTCAAACCCAATTTTAAACGCTTGCATCGGAGAAACAATATGCAGAATGTTTTTAACCAGGGAAAAATTGACGGTCGGTTAAACTGGCTGGCTGCCCCTATCGTGTGTGGTAGTGAACCCGTGATGGGGGCGCTTGAAAATTCTACAAGAAATAACTATTCTTCCGTCGGATGTAGTTCTGATAAATGTGCTTTCAGTAACTCTGGAAATTCGGCCGAAGGTGTTACTAAAAAGAATGCTCAAGAGTTTAGCCATGTTGTGTCTAATTCCTGTGAGCCTATTGTTACGCCAAAGCCTAAACTATTTAAACCTCAAGTCTCCGTCACATGTCAACATGAGTGTTCTCAAGATTGCCAACCTCAAAATGTCCTTAATGAAAATATTTTGTTTGAAGTTATTAAGTGTCTTTCGCAAGCCATAACACGATGTGAACATGTAGTCGCTGCGTCATTGCCGAAGGAAAGCAAAATTGTTCAGTCTTTAAATGTTCCTGTGTTCTCTCCCAACCAAGTAATGGATTACGAGTCTTTAAATGACAATGTATCTCAAGAAGTTGGAGAGACGAAAGAAGAATTGGCTCCTGAGTTTAAAAATGAAAACAAATTGAAAGTAAATGACGTCGAGTCTAAAGTTGTTGTTTCTAAAACATGTCGAGGCCTATCTGTCTCGAGTGACCCTGAGGCTGGGTCGCACGTGACTGACAGTGTTTCTTTGCCTGCCAATTCCTGTAGACTTGATTCTATTTATCCTTTCAAGGGTGACAGTTTTGATATATCTGTAACGATAGAGGATTTTAAATTTCTTGCTCTTATTGACACTGGAGCAGCTGTTACAGCAATTAGTTCTCAAGTTTGGGACAAGTATCTTAGTCATAAAAATTGTTGTTTAGATTCCTCTTCGACCAGTCGTGCAACGTCTGTACGTGGTTCTCCTCTTAGCGTTCTTGGTAAAGTATGGCTCAATTTTGTTATTAAGTCTGACGTTTTTCCTTTTGAAGCCTATGTTATTAAAGATTTGACTCATGACGTCGTTTTGGGCAGAGATTTTCTTCAAAAATATTGTTCGATAATTAATTTTATGGAGAACATAACTGAATTTTCCCACCCCGAGAATCCCCTCCCTTTTACTGATAGTTTTGGTGATGATTTGGATGCTGAAGGTTTTGATAATTGTGTTTTGTCAGTGCATGCTGATAATTCTTTTACTTTTCCCGCTCATTCAGAAGTCGTTGTCGCTGGTAGATTAAGTTCAATGCCGAAAGGTGTAAACACAAGTGCCAGTGAAATTTATGGCTTGGTCACACCTAAGTCTGATTTGCCTCACCGTTACTCAATTTTTGGAGCGACAGAGCTCGTGAAGGTTTCTAGTGATGTAACTATTCCTGTTAGGATGGTAAACCCTTCCGCTCAACCAGTTAAAATTTTTCGTAGGTCTAAATTGGCAGATTTTGAGCGTGTTGATAATGATTTAGCAACATTTGAAATTGGGAAAAATTCCCCTTCATCGGATGCTCAGCGTAATTCTTCAGATGATCGGCAACAGCCAAAAGATTATTCGGAGTTTCCTGATTTGTCAAATAGTATTTTGAATGATGATGAGAAAGTGAAATTTAAGAATTTGTTTAATAAATATCGTAATGTTTTTGCTTTTCCTGGGGATCAGTTGGGTAGAACATCCCTTGTACAGCATGTCATTGATACTGGTGATGCTACGCCTGTTAAGCAAAGGCCGTATAGAGTATCTCCTGATGTTAAGAAAGAAATTGACCGTCAAGTAGACGAAATGCTTGAAAAAGGAATAATTCAAGAGTCTGTCTCTTCTTGGAGCTCTCCAGTTGTTTTTGTTAAAAAGAAGGACGGGTCACATAGATTTTGTGTTGATTTTCGTAAAGTTAATAAAGTCACTAAGGTAGATAGTTTTCCAATGCCTTTAGTCGCTGATGCGCTAGATTCTTTAGCTGGTGCAAGCGTGTTTTCCGTGTTGGATCTAAAAAGTGGTTTTTGGCAAATACAAATGCAGGAGGATTCGAAACAAAAGACAGCCTTTGCAACGCACAATGGTCTTTATGAATTTCAGACAATGCCGTTTGGATTAGTGAATTCAGGAGCCAGTTTTCAGCGGCTTATGGGTCATATTTTGAGAGGCTTGAAATATCGTTTTGCTTTGATTTATATCGATGATATAATCATTTTCTCTAAGTCTATAGATGAGCATTTAGTCCATTTGGAGGAAGTTTTTAGAAGGTTGCGTGACGCCAATGTTAAGTTGAATCCAAAGAAATGCAGTTTCTTTAAACAAAGAGTAGAGTATCTTGGTCACGTAGTTACGCCAGAAGGCATTAGTCCCAACCCAGACAAGGTAAGGGTGGTTCAGGAATTCCCCACCCCCACAAACTTGAAGGAATTGAGGAGTTTCCTAGGTCTTGCTAATTATTACAGACGTTTTGTAAGAGGTTTTTCAAATATTGCCAACCCTTTGAATGCTTTGACGAAGAAGAACGTTCCTTTTGTTTGGACTGTAGCTTGTGCCGAGGCATTTGAAAAGCTTAAGCGTGCCTTGGTTTCTGCACCGATTTTGGCATATCCTAATTTTCGGGAACCATTTTTATTATTTGTTGACGCTAGCTCCACTGGTATTGGTTTTACTTCAGCACAAATTCAAAATGGAAAGGAAGT